TTCAGTCAGAAATGTACATCATCTATGAAATATTCTTACCAAAAACACTTAACCTAAATTAATCATAAAGAACCATTCAAGCCAGACGAATTCAGATGGAGGAACATTCTGAAAACAACGGTCCAGGAGTCTAGAAAAATATCAACAACACAAAAGCTCCCTCTTTATCTACTCTCATCCTCCCTAAAAGACTAGAAAATTTTTCTAGATTAAAAAAGAAAAAAGAGTCATAACAATTAAATCCAAACTGTTGACTGGACTCTGAATCCCCCCCCCCAAAAAAAACAAAACAAAAGCTATTTAAGAAATAATTGAGCAATGGGGGAACGTTTGAACAGGAATATACATAGTAGACAATAGTATTGTGTCAATATTAGATTTTCTAGTTGTGGTTTTGAAGGAAAATGTACTTATCATTAGGAGACACACATTGAAGTATCTAGAGGTGAAACATAGTGATATTTTCAAGTAATTTTCCAATGCTAGAGATAAAAATGCACTGACTATGCCAGCAGATGTGGTGGAGACTGGCAGAAGGGACGTTGGTGGTGGAGATTGGATGGTGGGGTCTATCCAAGTGGAGCTGCAGTGACTGAAGGAGGATTGGAAATACGCCATCAGAACTGGTAGCTCTAGCACCTATGCCCTCTACTTTTTAGCTCTTGCCTTCACCGACTAAGGCAGGACCCTTTAGAACAACCTGTGAGAACCCCAAGAGTGTTGACATGACATTTTTGCTTCAGCAGCTTGGCTGCCATGACACAGAGCGGGCATGCTTCACTTGCCCTGGTCGTGGTGACTTGCAAGAGATGATCTGAGTCCAGGTCATCCAAAGCAATTATCTACCGTGTCTGCACCCCACCCCCCAGCAATAAAAAGACTTCCTCTGCGATATGTTAGTTGGTTATACAGTTGGTAATAACATTTTCAAAACATAATTTTGTTCTTTATATTTCATACTCTGAAATAATCAAATTTCTTCTCTAGGAATGACATGATAAAGGCATCCAGCTTTAAATCAGCGACTTTTGCCAAAATGTACAATTTCCTAAACTACCCCTCATTTGGATTATTATTATGTGATTAAAACTGTTAAGAATGAAGACTTGCCATTCTCACTGACATCATTTCTTTTCATCCTTAAAAAAGCAATGTGGGGTAGATGTTTTTTATGCCAAAAACTAAGATCCGGAGAGGTTAAGTAACTAGCTTCAGAACACACTATGAGAATTACCTGACTTTAGAACTTATCTCACCATTAGACGCTGAAAGGTTTAACCTGAAATAAGAAACTACACTTTGGCATTACGTTTTTCATTCTTCTCTCACATTCCCTCTCTCACTGTATCTCAAGTTTACTACATTCAGTCCCTATAATCTTATACTTAGAAAACCGTTACAACTCCTGATGGGCGTCCATGATTTTAGACTCTCTCTCTTCTCCTTTCCAAAACGCAGACCAATGTTACTAAACTATCGCTTTCATGTTATCACCCTCTTCAACAACATACAATCCAAAATCGGAGCCCATTTCACATAGTCCACTATTTGGGAATATTGTTTCTTCACTACCAACCATACCCACTTTTCCATGTACAACTCTAATCCTATTTCCTCTGTGAAGGTTTATTTCTTTCACTGTGAAGAGCTATAAACCCCCTGAGACGGCACCCTACTTGCAAGCTAACAAATTAGCCTGCCAAAATTTCATAGGTGGTGGTGGAATACATGAGGCTCCGATATGAGAGATAAAGGACTCATGTCACAGCAAGCATCACGAGCATCATTATATTTGCTTTAGGTCTCCTTGTCCCCCATCCCATGGGGTGAAGGGAAGTATACGTGCACATGCAGTGGACTGTGTTACATGACAGGGATCCTGAGTTTAGGGAACCCAAAGCTGTTATAATTGATGCACGCATGCCGGATAGATATAGGCTCATGCATATATATTCAATAAATTTATGACAAAGGAGCCAAGAATACACAATGGGGAAAGGATAGTCTCTGTAATAATGTGCTGGAGAAACAGGGCGGCCACATGCAAAAGAATGAACCTGGACCCCTAAATCACACCATAAACAAAAGTCAACTCAAAATGCATTAAAGACTTGAATGTAAGACCTGAAACCATAAAACTCCTAGAATAAAACATAGGCAGTAAGCTCTTTGACATTTGTTTTAGCAATAAATTTTTGGATTTGACACCAAAGGCAAGGCAACAAAACCAAAAATAATCAGGTGGGACTACACCAAACTAAAAATGGGCAGAGGAACTGAACAGATATTTTTGCAAAGAAGACATATAATGGCCAACAGGTACTTGAAAAAGTGTTCAATATCACTAATTATTACAGAAATGCAAATCAAAACCACAATGAGATATCTCACATCTGTTAGGATGGCTATCATCAAAATGCAAGGGATAACAAAGGTTGGCAAGGTGTGGAAAAACAGAAATACCTCTGCACTGTTGTTGGGAATTCAAATTGGTACAACCATTATGGAAAATAGTATGACAATTTCTCAAAAAATTCAAAATAGAACTACCATATTATCCAGCAAATCCACTTCTGAGTACATAGTCAAAGGAAATGAAAACAGAATATCAATGAGATATCTGTACTCCCATATTCATTGCAGCATTAGTCACAATAGCTAAGATATAGAAACAATTTGGGTGCCCATCAATGGATGAATGGATACAGATGTGAGATATATACATAGTATGTGTATAATATGCGTATGTGTACGTATAATGCATATTGCTCAGCCACGAGAAAGAAGGAAATTCTACCCTCTGCAACAACATGAATGACACTTGAAGGCATTATGCTAAGTGTAATAAGCCAGACAGAGAAAGACAAATACTGCATGGTATCACTTATACGTGGAATTTGAAAAAAAATCAACCTCATGAAAACAGAGAGTAGAAAAGTGGTTGCCAGAGGCTGGGGGTTGGCAGAAATAAGGAGAGGTTGATAAAAGGGTCCAAACTTTCAGCTATAAGGTGAATAAGATCTGAGGAGCTAATGCACAACATGGTAACTATAATTGATAACATTGTATTCTGTAACTGATATTTGCTATTAAAGTAGAATTCAGCTGTTCTCACACACACATAAAAAGATAAATATGTGAGATGATGGATGTGTGAATTAACTAAATGGTGGAAATCCTTTACAATATATAGGTATATATAAACCACCAAGATGTACTCTTTAAATATCATATAATTTTATTTGTTAATTATACCTCAATAAAGCTTAAAAAAAAAAAAAGAATGCCATGTGCCTTGCTACCTACTCGCAAACTTCTCCAGTAAATTTCTGAAGCAGCTGCACACCAAGAAGTGTGAGCCAAAGAAGCAAAATTCAGCACTACTGCAAATGTAGATGTCTTCAGACAACTTCTTGGCTTCCTAGAACTCATAGACCCCAAAAGGTACTGATTTGATAGCTCATAAGAAGAAACAGTTTTTTCGGAAGTTAGTATTAAAGTTTTCCAAAACACCTGAAACTCCCTTTGTAAAATTCTTACATGGAGACATTCCATAAATAAAAGATGTGGAGTATACTCCCTTGAATAACTCACGTTATTATGATAATATAACTCAAGTTGTATTTCATGCTGGTTTAGGTACTTTTTAATCATAGTAGGGATTTCAGAAATTTTTTTGCATCAGTGAGAATGCCCAAGTAAATCACTCGTGTGAATTAACATGTCACAGCAAAGGAGCAGACTTGATTTAACATTTTGAGGGGAAAAGGAAGGGGAACAAAATCCTGGATGTCCAGTTAAAAAAATTTTTTTTCCTTAGTGAAAGGAAAATAGAAAGGCATCTAGAAAGCTCTGTATGCCAGTTTCTCCTAGGGACTTAAAACTCTGATGGACACATAGCTGTGTCATCTATGTCTAGCTATTCTGAACAGCCATTGAGGATCATAGTCAACTCAAAACTCATCTGTACTTCTAGTTAAAGTTCTCAAGATGAACATTTAAAATTCACCTTTCATTTTTTAAACATTTTTTATTGAGTTATAGTCATTTTACAAGGTTGTGTCAAATTCCAGTGTAGAGCACAATTTTTCAGTTATATATGAACATACATACATTCATTGTCACATTTTCTTTCGCCATGAGCTACCACAAGATCCTGTATATATTTCCCTGTGCTACACAGTATAATCTTGTTTTTCTATTCTACATTTTGAAATCCCAATCTGTCCCTTCCCACCCTGCATCCCCTTGGCAACCACAAGTTTGTATTCTTTGTCTATGAGGAGTCTGTTTCTGTTTTGTATTGATTTATTTACTTAGATTCCGCATATGAGCGATCTCATATGGTATTTTTCTTTCTCTTTCTGGCTTACTTCACTTAGAATGACATTCTCCAGGAACATCCATGTTGCTGCAAATGGCATTATGTTTTCAGTTTTTATGGCTGAGTAATATTCCATTGTATAAATATACCTCATCTTCTTTATTCAATCATCTGTTGATGGACATTTAGGCTGTTTCCATGTCTTGGCTATTGTAAATAGTGCTGCTATGAACATTGGGGTGCAGGAATTCACCTTTCATTTTATTTATTTTTTTTATTGAAGTAGAATCAGTTTACAATGTTGTGTCAGTTTCTGATATACAGCATCATGTTTCAGTCATACGTATACATACATATTCTTTTCATATTCCTTTTTATTATAGGTTACTACAAGACACTGAATATAGTTCCCTGTGCTATATAGGAGAATCTTCTTGTTTATCTGTTTTATATATAGTGATTAGTATCTATAAATCTCGAACTCCCAGTTTATCTCTTCCCACACCCTTCCCCACCTGGTAATCGTAAGTTTATTTTCTATGTCTGTGAGTCTGTTTCTGTCTTGTAAATAAGTTCATTTGTGTCTTTTTTTTTTTTTTTAGATTCCACATATGAGTGATATCATATGGCATTTTTGTTTCTCTTTCTGGCTTACTTCACCTAGAATGACGGTCTCAAAAATATGGAATTCTTCATGAATTTGCCCATCATCCTTGCTCGGGGGCCATGCTAATCATCTTGGTAGCCTTCCAATTTTAGTATATGTGCCACCGAAGTGAACACCAAAATTCCCCTTTCAAACGGAGAGAAAAAACAAGACCAAGTAGCAATTTAATGGCACTGTTTTAGGAATATTTTCTGTCACTGGTTACATTCAGCCTTGATTTGACATCTTAATTTCTCAGTCGATCTCATGACTTAGATGCCTACATTCTAAATGAGGAAATATAGTTAAATACTGGCAACCAGGCTACTTCGATTTTTCCATCACTGTAACTTCTAGACCATACCTGGTGCAAGAGTCCTGTGTTGCTGTTACCCCTACTGCTACTACTATTAATAGTAATGGATGCCACAACTTTAGTTTTCAAAGTCTTTATGTAAGTAATACACCCCCCACCCCAATTCTCCAAAACAGAGCTGGCAGTGATAGATAAGATAATCAAATCTGGAGATGGGCGTATTTAACACTCATGCTGCCACGTCTCTTCCCACACCAAGGGCAGACATTACTAATCACTCCCTCTCACTAAGTGTAGATGCCACTGAGTCTTTCCCAATTTTCAGTAGGCGTGTCTGCAGCCACTACCAATCTCTCATAGTTGGCATGACAAGAAGTATATTTGCTGTTTGTGATAGAGCACAACCTGACCTTTTACAGATAAAGAAATGCTCACAAAGGGATTGCACAGCAAATTCAAGGCAGAGTTAGGACAACAGTATGTCTCACCACCCTACTCCCAGATCGGTGCTCTTTCTACTGCCCCACCTGTAGTTTGCCAGAATATGTCACCCAAGGACTAATCAGGTTCCAGTTTCAAAATTTAAAAACTCACAGTGACTTTTAAATTTCATTATTCAGAAAGTTCTTCGAACAAAGAGACTTTGGTCCAACATATTTACTACTTCATCTGGTCAACATGCTTCACACGGCCAGTAGAATTGGTTATCCCCGGGGAGCTGATGAAGATTTCAGCAGTTGCCGACATACATGCATTTACAAAGACTGCTAGCATGTTCACATCCTACAAAAATGCACACCGTCAATCTCAAAACATCAGCAGCCCTTCAAATAGAAGGATTCTAGCTACACATGAGGGGTAGCTGATCAAAGTCAGCTAAGACTAATAAACATGAAAAAGAAGAGGCGAAGAGAAAGACAGATGCTGATGCGTTCTTACCATTTGAGACAACTTATAATTCTAACCATTCGGCTAAAAACAGACAACGGACTGATTGCTATTGTTTTACTGATTAACCATTCTCTCCGCTTTTTCCCAAAAGGCACCCTGGCAAACTTTGCTTAGTAAATATTGACACCTGTAAACCAAGCTGGCTAATGCCTTTGGCTCTCCGGCTATCTTCCCATCTGTTGCCTGAGAATTTTAAGCAACGTATTTTGGGACTCTTGCTCTCCTTCCATTGTAAACTGTAAAAAATGCTACCCAGAAGCTAATCCGAAAGCCACATGGCCCTAGAGGGGCCTGTGGTAAGTAAAGGGAAATGTAGTCTAATATGTAAAACGCATATCCCACTGGCCTCCTCGGCCACCCCGTCTTTAGTTAACAGCATGCCGGGGTAATCTGCTTAGTTACCAAGTGGGGCTTTTTTCCGTCTTCCCCATGAGATCACCCAGACCACGATCAAAGCCCAAACACACTCTCTGCCAGCTCTATTGTTCCCCAGAGTGGGATTAATGACTAATTATGTCAGGTCACTCATCCAGATGGCCTCTCAGATGTTCCTTTGTCATTGTCTGACCTTCCATATGCCCCTTTGACCTTGAGGTTTATTTCCATGGAAACATGAAGCCTCAGTTTCCTTGCTGAGATTGCCAAGAATTGGCCAAAAGGAGGGATATGGGATAATCTACCCACACTTTGTATTCTGCTTCCATCTCATGCCTTGTTAAATCCAATGAATAGATAAAAAATGCTATGTGGTCCCAGCTGAGTGATGACCATGGTCATGATTCTATGTTACATGCTATGTTTTTTAAATTAGCAGACAGCTTTGTACGTGGAAACGTGCATTCAATTTGAAGAACATCAATCGCCATAATGTGATCTTTTTATCTCATTAATGTTAAGCAAGGGTAATAGAATGGAATTACAAAATATCACTGTGAAAGGAATACAATTCAGAGAATTATAGATATCCCCCATTAAAGCCCTAGAGATGTTTGGATAAGTCAACTTGTTCAGTTTCATAAATTAAAGATTCTTTACTCACTACTTTTTTCTGGGGTTTAAATTCTAGCCTCAGATGTTGATCTTCATCTGCAGAAGGATTTTAAAGTGGTTAGTAAAATAGAGAAATTTTCCTCAAAACTACCAAATAAGTAAATAAAAATAGGAGATGGACTCATGAACTCGATTATATAAAAAAGGTTGAATATGTATTTGCATGGGATGATCTGTATTTCCCTTTGCAGTTTAAAGAAGACTGAAGAATAATTCAAATGCCTAAAACGTGGAGGCTGATTCACCTCTCCTGAGTTCATCCAAGAATGAAATGTCTCTCTGCTCTAAGTGTGAATTCATGCAGGCACAGAGCTCTCTCAGGGAATGCAAACAGAGTGGGAAGCATTCACCCATGCCCACATCTCCCTGGCAAGGTGGCAATCAATTAATCTCCCCTCACCAATGGTCGGGAAGCTGCAGATTCCAGCTGAGAGTTATCAGTTTACTTAAGAAGAAAATTTGAGAGCTAGGTGAAAGAAAGGATTTTGTTTCTTGTATTGTTCTTAATGGGCCATTTTGCCTTCTGAATCAGGAAAGGAAGACTTGGGTGAGAAGGAAGACCTCACCCTGGCTAATGGCATCCCAGCCCCCCAGCCCCACAACCCCCCTCGCTCTGAGTGAGCGCTAAGGCCTTTTGAAGCAGCGATGGTGCCTTGCTCATGCTCACTCCAGGATCTCCGGCACTCCCAGGCCCCTCACAGTGCCTGGCATAATCTAGGTTCCTAAAACCTTGCTGAATGAATGAACATTAGTGCCAGTTAATGTGAACCAGAAAGCTTGACCTTTCTCTTCTTTTGTTTTCTTCCAATAATATAGTCAGGAATGGTTTATTTAAAACAGCTTTCTGGGTATGCAAATTCAGCCTCAAGGAACACAAATTCAGTAAAGAGAGAAACCCTTTCCTTTCACTAAAAGAGAGACAATTTTATTTAAAGAATGATAACTACACAGTAGATTTCCACAAAGTGCAAAAGAACAGCACGTTCCTAATCATTTGAGAATGTGGCCAGAAAACTCCTTCCACATTTCAGAATGGCCCTTTAGTAATGGGCCACATAGATACTCACTACATCTTCTGGGTTTGGCATAACCACCTGCAGACGAAGTTTCTCTCTTTTCTCAAAATGGCATTGCTCAGAGACATGGCAAACTGATAGCTCTCAAGGTGGACAAAGAGAGGTGGCAGGTGATCTGTGGAAAGTAGTAGCTATAAATCTGCCACCTTCCATATTATGCCATAGAGTAATTTAGTGGGCTTATCATTTCCATTTGTAGAAGACAGATGCTTTCCAAGGAATATATCTACATAAATAATTTTTTTTATTTAGAAAAAATCTGGGGGGTTGATTAGTTTTTTATGTATTTAATATTTATTTAATGGAGGTACTGGGGTTGAACCAAGGACCTTATACATGCTAAGCATGTGCTCTACCACTAAGCTATACCCTCCCCCTTCATAAATAATTTTTTTTAATTTCTAAGAAATGCTTTGTCATTCATAAAACTTATAGACCTGGAATCATCATAATTAGCAACCTATCTGAAATGTTGACATTCTATCTCAGTAGAAATATGAACTGAACATAAATTCAAATTCTCCATTAACCAAGGCTCATCATAACAGCATCTGACACTTGTCTGGGTCCTAGTGTCCTCACCTGCAAATCACAATAATGTGCCCTGTAAGTCCTTGCAATAACGATGAGCTGAAATTATTCTTCCAGCAGGAGGGACTTTAGGTTCTCAGATGCCAGAACTAAAATTCTCATAGTTGCCTAAAAGATTCATGAGAGTCAGCTAGTATATTAGAATATTGCATCAAGGGGGAAATTACTGTATCAGGGAACTGGACACCAGTGTCATCCAAGTACTGCTTATTTGATTTTTATGGTCCTTGTAAATTGCCTCGTAAGTAGTTTTATATCACTGAAAAAAAAATTAAGTGTCTGCAATGTGCTAGGTCCTGGCTTAGTTTCTGATGATACAATAATGATGTCCTCAGATTGCTTTTAGCCCAGTAAGAGGACTGAGGAGTAAACCCAGAGTGACTAGGGAAGGCAAAGGGCAGCTTCCTGGAGGAGGTGACAGCTAAATAAGGACAGATCCAGAAAACAGGAGAAGAGTGAGGAAAAGTATCCAGGTGGAGGGAACAATTTATGCCCAGTCCTGTGGGGAGAAATGAACAGGCAAATTCAGAGATTTGCAAGTAGTTCAGTATGACTGAGGTTTGAAGTGTGAGGATGAGGCTGGAGACGTGAGCAGGACCTCCGTCATCAAAGGCCTCGTGAACCACCTGCAGCACAAGGCGTCCAGGCATGGAATGCCAAGAGATCGACAGTGAACTCGGCCCTTGGCTGGCTGTGACTGAGACTTCTGGCTGGAGTTCAAGTGAAGGATCCCATTCCAGAAAAAGGGGTGACCAGGGAAAACCAGGACCCCAGTTCTAGAAGGACTCAATTACTAGACAATCCAGGCAGAACATGGGCCTTGGGAATAAGAGGGTGAACATCATCATGTGGAAACTGGTTTTAGGGACAAGGAAGAAACCCAGAACTCTTATCTTTCCCAGACAACATTAAAGGTAACTCAGAGCTGAGTTTCACGGTGCTACATCATAAATTTCCTCTTTCTAGAGAAAGAGGTTGGATGGGATTGGAGGGGGCAGGCTGAGCCTTTAAGAAGGAAGAGACAGATAGAAGAGAGAGGCAGAGGCAGGAATTCAGTCCATCTTTCTCTAGCAGCAAGGTGAGACAGAGGATCTGGAACTGGTTAGCTATGTGGCTTTGAGAAAATTTCCTTCTGAACCTCTCCAAACCTT